CCTGGATGATGCGATGGCAGCCATAGTGCACCAGAACGCTCACCACACATCAGATATTTTTGCCATGAAGTGAGTACAGCCCAGCTCCCTAGGAAAACCAGACTCCTTGTTTTCTTTTGTCAGTCCTTGATAGCCAGCTGGATCCATTTACAACAAAGAATAAGTGTCTTGCTTGTACAAAGTCCCACAAGGCAAATGTTACCCAACTGGCTATAATGGTCTCCTCTGATTAGAACCACTCTTATGTGATTCTGAATGTCGTGTAATTCCACATGATCAGTATGTGTCAAAAACCCAAGTTAACAATCTTTATGAAAGCGAAAACAAAGTACTGCACTGCCCTTCCGCGCGCCACCGACATCTAGTTCAGCGTATGGGTTAGGTGCTGATGAAGGCGTTAAAGGGACAGACGAATTAAAGGTTGTTTGTGACGAGCCCAGCTGGGGGAACAGCAGCCTGCCCCTGAGGGAGAACCTGACCGAACCCCCCTTGCTTTCACAAGGAATGAGCCAGGGAGCAGCTGCAAGGGTGCAGACATTGTGGTGGGACCATTGTGAGAGGGAAGCCAAGCAGGAGAGGTGAAATTATAAATGTAGGAGAGTGGAAGTAGGCGAGATTCAGCAGCCTCTCTGACTAACTCCTCACACCTCCACAAGTCCCTAATATTCAAACTGAAGCTTCTCGTCCTCTGATTCATCCCTCTGTTCTCTGTGGGTCTGCAACATGTTTCTTTTTCACTTGACAGAATATGTTCACTTCTTAATCTTGAGTTCATCTGACTGTATGGATTTCTGTTCTATGTTAATCTATAGAGTTATGTAATTGTTTAGCACGGAAATTGCCTACGTTTAATGGCATAAACTAAATAAATCATGATGATTCCTACAACTAACTCTTAGGCTAATGCATATTACCTCGTCTTCTAAACTCTAATTGAAGTTTTTTGCAGAGATTGTCGGAGTCTAGATTTTAAGACATAAATCATACAGTAGTTAAGCAGAAATCTCTAAATTTACATTTTCATAGTTTTGTCTTTCTCGAATTGCTGGCTTGCCGTTTCTCACTTGGGCACCCTTGTAAAAGAGGCTTTGGTCTAAACAGGTGTCTTCTTGATTCAAGAATAAACAGGTGGTTTTAGTAGAAGAACAGAGCTAGAGATATCTGGCATGTGAATTGACAGTCAAACTTTGACTTTTTTAGGTATTTTTATATACCTGTTTTTTGTGACAGGCATGAGGCCTGTGAATCCGATCTCTTGTAATCCTAAGAGTAAAGATTTCCTTTTCCTGCCAATATTCAGTGCCTTATCTGCAGGTCCTTGAGACAAACGCTGGAGAACAGTCTTATTTCTACTGAGGGACTGGCCAGACTGCTGCAGGCCAGCATTGTGTGCGATGAAAGAGGAGCAGAAGGAGAACGGAGAAGAAAGAAAGAGAACACACTGTTCAGATAATTAGTAGTTTGTGTTCGCTGAAAGCAATCTCGATTTGCTTTACATATGGACTAATTATTCAGAGAGATCGACAAGATAGCCCTTCAGTTAGACAGAACTGCTGTTTCCCCACTAATCCAGATGGAAAAACTCAGATCAATTCCCTGTTTTATTGCAGTTTTATTAGCTTCTGCGGTCCTTTCATTTTCATGTACTTTATTTCTTTTGCTTATTTATTGAAATTGAACTAACCTAAGGGTAGTTAAAAATCACAGGAAAAAGAAAATCCTGCATAAAGCGTTCTGCCGTGTACTGGGTAATGAGCTGCAATCATCGGAATTCATTAAAGCCATTGCTGGAAAAGACGGAAAAGTGCAGGATGAGATTTTAGAAAAACTCAGACATGGCAGAGCCATTACATTTAATTAACTTACGTAACTTAATCACCACGAGGCAAATTCCAGAAAATTTGTGCGCGCTGCTCGAGTCAAAACAGGGTTTTTGTTCAGTTGTGGTTGTAATTAACTCTCTCGTGCAGGGATTCATTGAGGAGAGAGGCTGTCATCCTGGTGCAGCAGGGCTTCTGAATGGAGCGTCTCAGTAAAAGAGGTAATTAAAGAGCAAATGACCACAAATCCTTTGCCCACTGACATTTCCTTTCATAATTGTTCACAGTGTGCGTGTATTAGGAGTGGGCTTTGAGTCTGTGTTATCTGTACCTGTATAAATTAAAAAATATTTCTCGAAAAGAGTAGGGGTGCAACCCCAGCGTCCTGGCCAAATTTCCCATTGGCCCTTACCAATCATGGCCTCCTTATAATCCTACTAATTTTTCTATCTCATTAGACTCTGATTAATGAGCAGTTCATATTCTAGTGTTCATTAAAGCCTAATCTACCAACTGATCTGGTGTCGGATCCCATATTAGCTGTGTCAGTTAAAGAGCACAGTTGGCTGTCAGTGAACAGAGGGCACTTCTGCCCGTCTGGAGAAGGGCTAGGTGCTGAGATCATCGTGGTATTCAGATCTTTTCTTTCGTTGTTTACTTGCTAGGTGCTTTGTTTAAAAGTTCCCACATACGATTTATTTGTTAATGTATTTGGCTTGAAGGGCAATGCTGTTAAAACAGCAGCTATATCATTCTGCAGCTCACAGCTGGCAGCCCACTGAAGTTCAGCAGGTATGTGACTGGTCAGTACCTGAATAGGAGACTCCTGGGAAAGCTAAGGTTGCTGCTGGAAAAGGTGTTAGTGGGGCCAGTATGGGGTGCTCACCCTGCACTCTCTGTGGGTCCTAATGCCCCAGTATAGCATGGACACTATAATGTAAAAAGGCGCCGTCCTTCAGATCAGACATAAAACCAAGGTCCTGACTCCAAGGTAGTTTTCCAGAAAGATTATGGATGTTGTCCTAGCCAAATTTCCCCCTGGACTTTACCAATCATGGCCTCTTAATAATCCCCATCTCTGAACTGGCTTCGTCACTCTGAGAGCTGGTGTGTGGGGAGTGTACTGGCTCATCCCGGTGGGGCTGCACACTGGTGGGGGTGGAGGAGATCAGCATTACCTGTAAAGAGCTTTGAGTGGAGTGTCCAGAAAATTGCTATATAAGTGTAAGGAGTTTATTATTATCATTACATCAGTTGAACTTCTTCTGACACAGGGGGGACTCGAGCCAGAAAACACATCATTCAACATTAGAATTTGGATTCTTTACTCAAAATGATTTAATACAATGAGGAACATTGCAACTGTCCGAGTTGCTGTCCGAGTACTGATGTTTCTGGTTGAGTTCTCACTTGATAATTCAGCCCTTAAAAACATGAAGCAGTTCATTTCATGGGTCCATTTTCACAGCTTCTTCCAGCTCTTCAAGTGCTGGAGCTCTGAAGAGACCCAGAAGCCCTGCAGATACACCCACCTTCCAGGACCAGGACTGGACACCCATGCTGTGGAGGGTCTGTCCCCATGGCTGACCAGCTGCTTCATCTCCGCTGTTAAGGTTACCACCTGCAGAGCCAATATGAACATCATATATGTTGATCTGGCAGGTTGGGGTGAGTTCAGCTAATCAGAACCAAAACTTGTGTTATACAGTGTAACTCTCCACTGCTGAGTGTGAATCAGGCTCAGGCAGCTTTGAAGTACACAGCAAGCTATTAACCTGTTTCAATGTCTGTACACTTAGCTTCTGGAAGGTCCTTCTAATTGAAAATGGAGCACACAGACACAAAAAAGTATGTCAGCAATAAACATCACAACCCATTAGATAAGAGGTTGACAGCTTGGAACTATAGTTTCTTGGCCAAAATGTTGTTTTTTTAAACAGGTTCATACATCTGAGCACACAGTGTCTAAAAACTAGAAACTGTCATTTACAATGAAGAATACAAACCGAACAAGGGAGGCACAGAGTGTACATACAGTTTTATATTTGCCTGTTACTCACTGTGCTCAGAGCTGAGCACTGTTAAAGATGAGCTGTTATTCGTGTTTTTGAGAATAGCTCCCAAGATATTAAAGATCAACAACTCCTCGTTATAATAACGAGTTGCTGCTGGAATGAAAAATAAATAAAATGGACTATCTTGATGAGAGCAGTTGTTGTGGAAAAATGTTCAGGCAATAATCATGTTACAAAAATGTCAATAACTTTCCAACTCTAAATGGTGTTTCGCAGTCCCACCTGCTTTGTATAATCATGATTGTTGCAAGTGATAAGACAAAAGTGTTTATGCAGCTGTCAAATAATGCACACAGGATAGCAACAAGGTCATTTTTTAATCTTTGGCAAGCGTGAAGAAATTACTTTCAATTTATTAGCAATAAGGCGTTGCCTTTAGACATTACCCACAACCCCAATATTAAGGCAAATACATAAATTCCCTGCATTAGAGGCACTACAGATCATAACTCAATGACTCAGGGAGAAACGCTCAATGCAGACTAATGGGAATTCTATTCCACATCATTCAGGGTCAATAATTTGTCATTCTTATATGTGAAAATGATGCCTTGTATTTAATTAAAATTGGATTTGCTATTTAACACTCTACTTTGAACAGACGACTAATTGCAAAAGAGAAAATAACTAACCATCTCTCCTGTTCTCGTTGTCCTTTAGTCAGCTGTTGGAAAAATCAATCACCTGAACTGAAGTCCGCCCCCCCCAACACTCCCCCTTTCCAAATCACCCACTTCAGCAACATAATAGCATCCTGAGTAGATGGTATTCATTTGATTCATTAGGAGAAAAACAACAGAAATCTTGAGATCTCATCAAGCCTGTCAGACTGTCAGACTGCATCAGTTCGGTCTTTCTTTTTTTATACCTCTACCCTGGATTTGAAGAAAAATTAGTTTTAAATGCTACAGAAAAAAAGACTGTAATAACAAAATATATTGCATTGTATACAGTATATAGACTGTAAAGTACTGTATATTCTACCTGTAAATGAAAAATGACTATATGCCACATGTAATTTGTTATACTAGAATTTGTAAAGGATTGTATTAACTGAGTTCTGTTACAACCGAGAAAGCTAAATGCAGTGAAGGTCACAAAAATGCACATGTACAGCAGGACAAATCACATTCCAGCCTGTTGCACAGTTCTGTTACTCACAGCACAAGGTGGGTGTTCTGACAAACATGGTACCGATGTCTGCTGCTCGTGATAAGATTGCAGTCCACGTGGGATCTTACGTATTCCAGAAATCACAGGACTTGCGTAACAACTGTGTTTCTCCCTCTTGCCTCTGAAAAGCGTCAGTTGGCCTGCAGGGGTTAGTGAACCTGAGGTCACGTTTTGGGAAGATGAAATAAAATATCAGAACCCAGCAGAGTATCATAAGAAATGCATTAAACAACATCAAGAATGCAGAAACAGAT